TTAAATAATATCGATAAAATTTTCGTTCGTTACTTCGACGTCTCGGTGCACGTTCAACAACGCTAGCCCGTTTAATCGATCTTCGCCTGTTTTACTTCGTAGATATGTAAGTTTTCAATCTGCGCAGATTGAAAACGAGCGTTCGCTTGAAGCCACTACACGGAAAAAAATGCGCAAATTTGTAGCAACCGATGTATGGATTAGTACAATTGTTTGTTGCAGTTATTGAGAGCATCAATAAATGATTTTGCTCTCTTTTCCACCGGAATTTTTGAACGATGCCTGCAAACCAGTGTTGCCACTTTACCACAATTGTTGTAGATCTACCATATTCCGGGTCATTATTAAATTCTACCACAACTACCACATATTTTCAACAAGTAATTTTTAGCAAAAAAAAAACCGACTAAACAAAAAATATATTTGTATATAAATAAAAATATATATATATATTTCATGATCCAATGATCGGATCTAAACCAGATTAGTATGGGACCACCTCTGAGACACTAACTTTCCGATGCAGAATTATCAAAATCGGTTGACGTGGTCCAAAGTTATGCGGTAACATACATCAAACAAAAAAAAATTTTCCGACGAACTGATAACCTCCTCCTTTTTTGGAAGTCGGTTAAAAACTACCACAATTTTACTGAAATAAAATTATTAACCTAATTTGATAATTGTTTTTTTGTTCCTAAGGGTTGAACAGTCCATTTTCTCCTCAATATGAATTAAAATGTCAAGAAAATTTATTGTGAATTTTGTGTTAGTCGAAGAGCTGAAGGTGCTGCGTTTCTAAATTCATATTGCGTGCGTGAAGGATAATCTGCACTTACATGAGGCGATTTTCTTAGAGATTCGACATCGCCTGAGAATACGCCTGCGAAGTTGCTTAAAAAACAGTATTTCTACAGACAACAACACTTAAGAACTTATTGCAAAAATTAGAAATAAGATCTTTTGTATGACAAAGATTTATGTACATATGTACCTGCTAAGGCAATAAAAATGAAAACCTTAGTAGGCAAATATCTCGAACAAATGGCGCGATAGAAGAAACCTAAGAATGCAGTTTATCTACTTTTGAATACTACTTCATGGCCTGACATATCTTTTTTTGGCAAATTTTTACGTTACTACAAATATTCTATCACACGTTTCTAGAGATCTACTACTGTTTTTATTAAAAATCTACCACTATTTGGTTTCTGAAGTGACAACACTGCTGCAAACATAAAAAGTTTATTAAGAGTGCGAATATTATGAGGGAGAGAGTAAATATCAAAAATATGCTATTGTGTTCTAACCTTTCCCACATCGCGAAGTTCGCTGAGAATTCACCCACAATATCATTCGGCCATTGGTTTTCAAAAGCTTGCATCGTTTCAAGCATTTATTCTGCATTGAGTTCAGTGCGTTTTGTTGGCAAGATATTCTGAATTTTCGACAGTAACTCACGATGGTCCAGAAAACTAACGGGACAAAAATCGATCGACATTCATTCACTGCTGCCTCGAGTTGGCACGCATTTGCTCAGCTGTGTGCTTGTACCATTAATTTGTTTAGTTTGGTGTTGAAATATTTTTTGCAATTCCCAGTACGATGTTGTTGTAATTGATATTGACGTTGTTGTCGTTGAGCACCCCTGCCTTGAATAATCGGCGGCTGAAGGGGCAAATGTACCCAGTAAATACACAATTGCACAATTATTACACAATCTTCGCGCGACTTGTGAGCACTTTCGGAATTTTCAAATTAATGACTGTATCTGCTGCATTCGGATGATTGTGAAATTTCTGTGTCGCTTTATTTATTTTTCCTTTTATTTTGTTGATTTTTGGTTGATTTTCACTTTTAGTGATAAATTATTTTTTATACTTAGGTATCGATATGTATAAATACATAAATATGATAAGAACCTACACCTACATTCCATACACTCGAATATGGCGAAAATTTGCAATTACAAGCTGGAGTGAACAAAAAATTGGAAAAATAAAATTACACAATTGAGTTGCACAAAAAATGCGCTATTCCGCGGACGTAGATGCGGTCAATAATTGCGCAATTCCGTGAGTGGGTATTTAATTTATTATAGATCGTCGCAATGCCAACGTTTTGAAAAGTACCAATGTTTAATAATTTATTGATATAATATAAATAAGTATTTTCTTATATTTAAAAAATTATAACTTTTGACTGCACGCAAGTTTCCGTTTTGTTTTTTTTTTTAATAATGTGTTATAGAGTAAGGATTGATATTCAATGTAAACGATTAAAGTATCTGATCGAGAAGTAATACATATTTCCATTTGTTTATAAAAAGTTTTCATACAAATTAAAAATTTTGTATAAAACAACAATTTATTGAAAAATTGCAACAATCAGGCTAAAGCGTGTCTAATTAAATATTGTCATGCAAAAAATCAGCAAGCTACATGCTATGAAACAGTAGCCGTCATCGATTCGCCACTTCTCGCTCGCTATGTTTGAGTTCCGGTCGCTTAAAGAAGAATTTTGCATGTGAAAGCAACAACAAAGTTAGCTAGCACGGATAGACAATAGCGAGTTTGGTTGTACCTCATTGAGTTCGTTCTTTTCGCCACTCGCTAACTGATGGCGAATCGATGACGGCTAGTAGATAATAAATGATTACTAAATTCACCAAAAAAAGTTAATAACAATAACTCTTGTAAAAATTCGAATTTTGCAAAATTGTTCAAATTTATTTTATTTTTTTATGGTTGTAAACCGAATAAAGTTATTTGTTATTTGAGAGATTTTCACTCTTTAAGCGAGTCATTTCAGCATGCTACTGTGGCTGCTTTCGTCACTCGCGCGCACTGCCGTACGCAGTGATCCTAAATTTACTGGTCTTCACCATGCAAATCAACTTCAAAAAGTTCAACTGTTAATAGCTAAGATAACTTTAGGACAATCATGACCATCATATATATAGGAATGTTAAGCCTGTTTCTTTAGCTTCAAAACGGCGTTAAGATGAAGTCTCTACGATGAGCAGAACCCGAGATATAACAATTTGAAAATGTACATACTTAATTAGTCAGAATCACAAAAAAATCCAATTTTAAAATCTTTTGTGCCCTTACAATGTCTGAATTTTGTTTTATTTTAATTAGGTCGTACATGAAACTATATCCCTGGGTCGCGGGATTCCGACGGCTTAATCCCGCGAGTGCGGGACTCAAAAAGTGCTCGGGACTAGATGCCCTAAGCAGCATACATGATAGCCGCGTTTGCCCTCCCTGCCTTAAAAAGACAAAACAAGACAACTCCTTTTCCGGCTGTCGAAAGCGGCTTTAAAGTCGACAAATAGTTAGTGAGTGCCGATCCTCTTCTCGTGGCTCCTATCCACGATTTGAAAACCTGGTCTATTGGGGACTTACCAGGTCTAAATCAGTTCGTTGACGCTGGGCTTTTGCAACTCACACAGCACGCTCGATAAGGTCTTATAGGCTAGAATAACTTTTATCGTCGTTTAAAGTACAAAATTGGATTTGCTCACACAAGCTCTTGGCTCAATCCTTATCCATTCGTCCTGAAATATACTAGCCAGAAATGTGATTGCTTTATTAAAAAAAGAGAACCATTTTGAAATATGAGTGTTTTTACCCTCCAGATAATAATTTCTAAAACACACACACATACGCGGTTTTCCATTTTGTTGATACGCGGTTTTGTACTTTAAACGACGATACATTTATGAAGCTTTTCTGCTTGAGCGATTCTGACGTAAAATAATTTGGAATTGGCACACAACGCTTTTAAAAAAAAAAAGATTTCAAATATCTCATAAAATTTAGCCGCTTTTATTTTTTATAGAAACTTCATAGTTAAAACATGAAAATAATCACCATTCCTATACTGCACCGCCACTAACGAATTTGTTGGTTCCTTCGGGCTACGACACGCTGAGTGCTTTGAATGGCCTACTAATAAAACAATAATACTTAAGTCGGCATTTATTTTAGTTCATGATCAAATTTGCCTTCTCATTAAGAATAGTTTGTTTAAAAAGATCTGCTAACATAAACATATTTGATAGCAAAGAAAGATTAGCCTACCACTATACTATTATTAGGATATACATTTAAATCTTATCGCATGAATATTACTAGTTGGTTAAACAAGTGGATTTTGTGTTTGTTTTCGAGGAACAAATTTATTTTGGGGTTAATTGTGTACAAATTGTTACCATCCACCACCACCACCATAAAAAAACTCATATCGACAGTAGTATCTGCTATATTTAGTACAGTCAAACTATGCACGAAGAAACATAGGATTTTACGAATGGTGGCCTAGACTTGCCGCAGAGAATGTAAAACCTGAAAGCGAGGCATAAGCATTTTACGACCTCAATCAAAGCATGCATTCATGTATGTCAAAGAAGACAAATTTTAAATAATAAATATGTAGGAGAAAATGAAAATGCAAAAGAAATTTTAAAAGATTAGGCAAAACACGAAGAAAGCCAAGTTCAAAAGTATCGTCAAAATGTCTTTGATTGACTTTTAGCAGAGATACTTAAATGGGGCAATATTGAAGCAGAGATGTAGAGAAATACATTTAATTCTCCTACGACAGTCGGGTCTACGGGTCTACGTAACCGAAACGACCCAGATTCATATCTGGCCAAAAACAGCCAGCTATAACGGAAATATGTTATACGAATATTTTAATTCCCAAGAAAACTCTATTAGGACATGATTTCGAATAAATTGATATAATAAATAATTATTTCAAACGTTTTTTTTTCAACAAAAAAAAAAATGTAATAAACATAAAAAAAAATTCGAAGTATTCATAAGTCGAAGTTTTTCTTTGGTAATTGTGACTCCAGTTATGGAAGTTCGATTATATAATAGTATCCAAAGAAAATAAGAAAATAATAATAAAATAATAGTATGTACATCTTTTCTTAGTGCCGTTTTCTGAAGTAACCTTTAAATTTAAAACTCACTTTATATTTAAAGGTTGTATTACAAATAGAGCTATGTCTCAAGTAAAGCATTTCTATTATAGGGTCTTGAAGTATGTATGTTTCTTGGTTGTAAACCAATTTAAAACCCATAATAAAATGCTTTACATTAGACACAATAATAAATTTTAATGCAACCTTTAAATATAAAGTGAGCTTTAAAGTTACATGTTTTTTGAGAAAACGGCCCTTAGAAGTTTGTTTGACAAAAAAAAACGAGAATGTGAGTTTAATTTATTTTCTTATTGTACTTTTCGTTTACTACTTCCACCTTTCATCCTTTTTAAAAGCCAACGCATTGACAGAACAGACACTCCGACAGCGACTGCCACATCAGCCATGACCAGAGCAGCCACATCCAACAAATAGAATTGGTACCATTTTAAATCCATACCAGCAGCGCGCAAATGACTTGCGCCATTGTGGCGTATTACATAGTCGATCCCATAGAGTACCAGTAGAGTGTAAGGCAGTCTGCACACGGGTCGCATAGCTTTAGACGCGTATTACATACGTGTGCGTGCATGCATTTCATAAAACAAAAACGATAAAACAATAATAGAAAAATAACTGAAAATTAATTAAAGAAATAATAATTTGGCATCACTTAACATTTTTTGCCTGATACATTGACGCTTTGAAGTTGCTTCGTGTGCAGATCTTGAGGCGTAGAGGAATCGTTGCTGCATAAAAAATTTTATACGCGGCTAAAGCTATACGAACCGTGTGCAGACTGCCTAAGTCTACGAAAATCCAAAGCAACGGAATATCCAGAAAATTCAGCTTTCAGCAGATTTATTTGCTGGTGAAGCAACGGACTCGAGTTAGAAAGAAATTACAGTGTTTGAATAAAATATATAAATTTAGGTCTTTGTTTCAATTTACCTGATCGAAGAAGAACGACATACCTAATACGGGTACGCCATGGTAGACGGATTCCTAATTCATAGTTTGATTTTACTCCGACTTTGCTATTAACTGCAACGAATGATAAGTAAATGCCCGGCAGCAGTATGAGTTGGGTCAAGAAATAAAAAAAAAACTCACTATGCTTCCAGTTATCGAACTCCGGTTCAATGAGTATCTCAGTATAGTTGCTCCCCAGTTTGAGTGGCTCTAGTGTGTGTGCGGTGATCATGGTGACCTAATTGTGGATTAACCATAAATGGGGTTAGCGTCATATAAATGCTGTGTGAGCTAATAACTGTTCAATGCATCTGGTAGTGGCTTCTGGCCGGAAATATGAAAACTGCAAGTATTCTAGCTGCATCAGTAGTAGGTGCTTGAGCCGACAGTGTAGCCAACGCCCAGAGACCTATGACAATTATTGGGACCTAAAAGGTTTAGTCAAGGTGAGTTTATAATAAAGGCTTATTGTATTGGGCTTTGCAGCCTACCCCTTTTCTTGTTTTCATCAAAAACCGAGCAAGTCTCCCATTCCTTTAGTATTTCGACTTTGAAGCCTACTCGCGGTTTTCGCTGGCAATTAAGCAGCCATTAGGAGTGGGAACCAACTATGCAGATCTGACCGTCAATGCAAGACAAGCAATAATTTGCAATTGCATTTGAGAAAATATATGTGACGTTCATAGCTTTGAAGTGTGCTATTACACATTAGTGCTATTGTACATTAGGGTGGTCCAAAAACAGTAAAGTCAGAATTTTAATGCTCTCACCCCCTAGGATTGTCTATATCGAAAAAAGTATACCCATTTTTTATTTTGAAATCAAAAAATATTTAGAGGTCACTCAAGCGCTCAAAACTTTCCAATTATTTTTAAACAGCTTTTCGTAGAAATGGTATAGAATTCTTGAAAATCAATATTTTTCGATCGGAAAACTCTGGTTCTCTTCAGGAGACTTTCAATAATAATACCCAGTTATTTATTTAACCATTTTTTAATACTAACGATTTGTGGATTTTTGGCGGACCTATAAATTACAGTTGCGATGAAAAAATGGTTAAATAAACAATTGGGATTTATTACAGGGAATCTTTTGCAGATGAAAATGGTTTTCCGATAGAAAAATATTGATTTTTTTAGAATTCTATACCATTTCCGATCCTATGGGTTGAGCGCATAATAATTCCCACTTTACTTTTCCACATGCATTTTTGGACCACCCCAATGGCATACTTATATATTTTGGAGGCGGTTTATTTCAATATCAAAAGTCATTTGAAAACGATTTTCAATAAATTTTTTATTCAAATGTAATTTACATTAAATGACAAAACGTCGAAATAAGAACGTCAAAGTCAGAAAAATATTTTTTTCTTTTGCTTCATCATGTCAAATCTTGTCTAATTGAATCCGCATATTCATATTAGGAATACCATTCAAGGAAAAAATTCCGAAGCAAAATTTGCCTTAGTATTTTTTGCGATACCTACTTAGTACTTGGTCCAAAAGAATCGCTACTAAAATTACTTGGTATCGAACGAAAAGTATCGAGTACGTACCTAGTCGTATCGCTTCATCCTTACCTAATTACGAAATTTGTGTAAACAACTTCCCATTCGATTCTTTTTTTAAGTGTATCGAGAATTTTTTGCCTTTGTATAAGTCATCTTTTTCGTATCCCTCTTCGTATTCGAATTCATCTTGATATATGTACGTCTTCGTATTCAGCGTCGTTGTCGTAATCGAATTCGTCTTCCTATTCGTATCCACACATTCAACTTCGTCTTCGTATTACACTTTGTATGCGCTCGAAGTGTTACCAATTAAAAAAGCTATAATTTTGTCTATTTTTTTTTTTATTAAAAAACATCACTTCATCATAAAGAGTAGTCAAATTTTTAGAAAAGTGTATTACTGTTCGATGTAAGCCGCCTTTATCGCGGTTAATTGCAGCATCGAAGCTGTCCTTCACACAGGCTGCACGCATATGGTCTGTTGGTTAGTGATGTTCCGATACCAGTACTTGGAAGTATATACTCGAGTACGTCTACCAAGTACCGAGTATTTTTTTGTACCTCGATACGAGTGTGCAAGTACTTCATGGGTATCGAGTACAAAGTGGAAGTATTTACTTGATTGCTAAATTTAGGAAAATCCACTAAAACTTGGTCTGTGTTGTAGTTTTAAACAAAAAAAAAAACGAATCAAGATGTGAAACACTCGATTTTTCTAGGCTTAAAACTAAATGAACGCTTGAAAATGGAAAAAAAAGTCGTAATTAGGGCAGGATGTGGAGCCAGCGTGTGAGTTTCGGAAGCATCGTTTTGAAACAGAAGACTCAAACACAAGTAAGCACTTAAATTAAGCACTTAAGCAAGTAAGTTTCAGCACTTTCAAGCAATCCCATTTCAAAATAAGAGAATATCAAAAGACATTTTTCCGCTCTTCGTAATCCTTTCTTCACTGTATGTGGCTATATTGTAAACGTTGAACTGAAATTTTCTTGTCAGAGTACTTTCGAGTACAAGTAGAATCGAGTATTCCCTAGCGACTCTAAGGAGCATCGAGTATTCTGCTCGATGCTTTCAATGAGTACAGGCATCGAGTACATGGTGGTATCGGACGAACACTCTAGGCACATGCGCAGCACTCGGCATTCAAAATGCTCTGTCAAATACTTGTTCATTCGTACACGTATTTTCATGCTTTACCAATACTGGCTACATACATCGTCGATTTACATTTCGCGGCGCTTTCTGTCTATTCTCTTACGTGTTTCTTTTTTAATTTCGCTTTTAAGTAACCCCCGGCACTCTACTATCGCACTTGTTCACAAATTCAAGTTGTGAAATTCCCTTGAATTTACTATTACGCGGCTCCGATCTGACTTCTGACCCGTAAGGATGACTGTTAAGTGGTTACTTTTTTATTGATTCATTTCAGTTTTGAATTTCATTCGACAGTTCATGTGTGCATATGAGAAAGATAGTTAACTGAACACTGTATGAATACAAACATTAGGAAGGAAATAAAGATAAATATATGTAAATGCAAATCAGCGCAGGGCTGTATTAGTTGGGATGTCCTCGGGTAACATGTTTGCGATTTATGACCTTACAAGTATGACTAGTCTTAACGACGAAATGATGCTCTTAAAAAAAAAAAATAGACAAAATTATAGCACTTATTTTTTGAAACACTTCGAGCACCTACCTCTGTATTTATATGTATGTATGTATGTATATATCCTCAGTTAAAACATAATCGTAAAAGTGTCATCACCATTCTTATTCAGCAGTAACAAAGGTGCACATATACTTTTCTAAACTAATTAATTTAACTTCGTTAAGCTTTGACTGCTTGGGCCCACCACACTCTGAAAACTATCAATGTCCTACTATTAAATCTAAATATTTCCGTCGGCATTTATTTAAGGTGAGAATTGTATAATCAATTTTTCGCACACTTCTAGCATTCTAGATTACTTTTTATTGCTGATACTAATGATCGAAATGTCGCCGAACTAAAAGTACCTTCTCGTTACACAAATGTACTTGTAATGCATGGTACACAATTTCGGAAGTATTTAAACATATTCGATTACAAAGTCCGAAAAGTCAAAGTCAATGAAAACTAAAGATTAAATTTAGACCTACACTAAAGTATGTATCTACCAATAAACGAAGGGTATTGTTTATACTACCTAAGAGTATCTTATCGAGGCAAAGTATTAATGTTATGGGCCTTATAAACCGTCTCTACATACATATCTAACTATTTTTATGATAGCCTAGTACTTCCAAAAACTTTTTGTTGCAAATTTCAAATAGATTAAGTGTGACGCCACCGACATTGAGGGGAAAAAATATTGGGGAGTATTCTTGTTTTCGTACGAATCGAAAATCATGAAATTGTCCTATAATTTTCTATACAAAAATTCAAAATTTTCGATTCGTACGAAAACCAAAATACGCCCCATTAAAATCAATCAGAAACGTAGCTCATCTTACTATAAACTTCAACGAAACTACGGTAAATTCAATAATGCGCATCTTGAAATGATATAATATTTAATTTGCTGGTTCCTGCAGAGAGAAACCTGAACCTGAAGAGAAACCAAGAATCGTTGCAGGTTTTTTGACGGGCTATTGTAAGTTTAGAGATCATTCATCTAGGAATCTGGTCTCAAGCGTCCTATGCTGCTTCTGTGACTCTGTGAAGGAGACATAATTACACCTCCTTCTGTTTTTCGGAAAAGGGAGAGGAGCATATGGCATCTCAGGCCAGGGGAGATGCACATTTAATCCCTGCTCCATGCTTTATTCTCAAATTTATAGCGTCATTTATCTTATCTACATATCTATCAATCTATCTATCTATCATCGTGTTTTTGCTCCGCTGTTGCTCCGCTAACGTTGCAATTATATCCCTCATGGGCCGGCACGTAGCACATGTGTGCGTATGGGTTTGATTTTAACACAGCGTTTTATTTATTATGCTTGACCTCCGCTCGTTAGCAGAGCATTACCCCAGGCGTCAACCAAATCTAATTAATCTACTGCTATTTACGCATGTATGGATAAATGAAACATATTTTTACTACCGTTAAATTTTTTATTGGATGTTTCTTTGACAAGAACGAGACCATCCGTGTAATTTATTTCCCTATTGTACTTTTTGTTTACTCTCTCCACCTCTTAACCTTCTCAAAAGCCAACGCAGTGACAGAACAGAAGCTCCGACTATTGCTACCGCAACAGCCATAACCAGAGCAGCTACATCGAGCAAATAGAACTGGTACCATGTCAAATCCATGCCAGCAGCGCGCAGATGTCGCGCACCATTGTGGCGTATCACATAGTCGATCCAATAGAGCAACGTCTCTCGCGGACCAGTTGGACGATCGCGGAAAATATGCGAGAACCGTTTGGAAGTGTCACGATATTTGGGATTGAAAAGCACCGCCTCCAGAGCATTCTTCAAATCGTCATGTGTGGTCGTATGGAAATCCAAAGTAACTGCATATCCAGCCATTTCAGCTTTCTTCGTGTTTAATAGCTGGGGAAGAAAAGAACATTAGTAAAAAGAAATTAGTACCTATATATTGGTATTTTGTGCTCATATTCAGTTCACCTGATCGAATACGAAAGGCATGCCCACCACTGGGACACCATGATATACGGCTTCTTGTAAGCCAAAGAGTCCTCCATGGGAGATAAAAGCGCGCATATTAGGGTGTGCCAAGATATCATTCTGTGGCAACCAGTCCTTAATCATAACATTAGCTGGTAAATTTGGTATGCTGTCGTTTTCGAATTTCCATAAAATGCGTTGCTTCAACTGGCGGAAGACATTGAGAAATATGTCTAGCTTTTCTGCTGGCATGTCCTTGGAGTTAATCATTGTACCAAAGCTGAAGTAAATAGCACCATGTTCTGCGTCATCTAAGAATTTCTGTAAATCGGTGGGAAGTGGCTTTGTTGGATAGATATGTAGGCCACCAATATAAACCATGTTGTCCATTTTAGGCATCGCGTTCGCTAAAGGCGTGTAACTATTGATCAACATGGCAGAATGATTCTTCTCCATCGCCGAAACACTGGGGAATTTAACTGTTAAAAGTTATAAACAAATGTCGGGAATTCTCTTCTTGTCACTCATAAATTTAACCTCTTACTTGGCAAATATCCAAAGTATTTCTGCACAAGCGCATCCATTGCCGGAAAATACTCGAATTCACGAAACAAATCAAGGCGAAGTGAGCAAAAGCTATTCACAGCGCGTTCCAAAAAGTTCATGCGATCAGAAAATGGTAAAAATTCCGTAAGTACATACGACCACGGTGTCACATAGCCGAACATTTGACTAAAGTAACTTTGGTGCGCAAATGTGGCGGAGCTGACAACGGGTATTTTATAGATGTGAGCCAAGGCGAGAAAGGGTTCTTGATGCAACTGTTCTACCAGCAGCAAATCGTAAACGCCTTCAGTTTGTTTAGCATTAATAATTTCCTGAACTTTTGGTTGCTTTAGCGCATGTTCATTAGTGATCACAGTTACATACTTTAGGAGTTCGAAATAAAACGATAGGCTAAGTTTTAGTTCGAATACAGATTTTATTCCGGTTTTTTCAATTACTGAAAGGAGAAAGGTTTAAATTAATTTTAATTGTAAATGTTTGAATAGGTCATAAAATACTAAGCTGCGTGCTATCAATCTCTGGTTCAATGAGTATCTCTGTGTAGTTGCTACCCAATTTGAGTGGTTCCAGCGTAATTGCGGTTATCATAGTTATCTAATGGTGAATTGACCCCGAAGGCGTTTAAATTCATATATTAAAATATAAAAGGTAACGCTGCTCTTACCTGATGGCCATGTTTCACCAACTCGCTAATCAGAGCTCGATGCATTTGGAAGTGGCTTCTGGCTGGATATGTGTAGACTGCAAGTATTCTGGCGCCATCTATTAAAGGTGCTTGAGCCGACAGCACAGCGAATGCGAAAATGCCAACGAGAATCTTTGTATACTGGATGGGATATAGCAGAAAAAAAGTTGAAGTTATAGTAGATATGTATGTACATTAGAGTGGTCCAATTTTTGTATGGGGGAGAGAATGTCTTCCTAGAAACCGGGGCCTTGGCAAAAACGTTGGTAATTTTTATAAAATGCTACTGTTGCCATGACAACTGAAGCTTGTAATATTTTTTAGATAATTTAAATTAGAAATATCTTTATGTTGCATAACCAATTGTTTGATTAGTATACCCGAATGTACACAATACTTCTAGAGTAAAATATGAGCATCATAAGAATCCCCGAAATTTATATTTAGAAACGTATAGTTTGTTACCAGCACCTCTTTCGGCAAGAGGAAAAATTTTGGAAGGTGCCCCAAACCCTATCTCGAAAAAAAATTTGTTGGACCACTCTAATGTGTATATGCAAGTTATAATACCTGACTTAAGATGGTAATAAATTAAATAACTCAAATCTTAATATGTGAACATTATCAATATCTGTATTGTTATCGGCATAATTAGTTGGTTTACAAGCACTTTCATCAAAAAAGCAATAAATTTATGAAACGGTACACCTGTACGATATGAGTAAGACCTTAGTATACGATTCTGAATTTCTCGTACATTTACTTAGGCAGAGAAAGCGAGAAAATAAGGGCACGCGCACTCAGAAATCCGAGTGGTTTTCAATATTTTTCTTTTTTGACCTGAAAATAGCCCATGCAGAGAACAGAATAACACCCGCGGGCATTATTTCCCGTACTGTTGCAGGTCAAAAAATAACAAAAAAATATAACCTCGCCCTTTGAAGGTCATTTGAAAAACCCAGGCAAGTTTTTTATCCAACGAAAATATTTTTCTTTGTGTTCGTATATCCTAATGAAATTTAAAATATTTTTTATTTGAGTTTGACAAAGATAATCAACGCGAATTTTTACCAACTTGAAACATTAACGAAAAAAAAATTAGCATGAAAACTTTGCATTAATGAATTGCCAAAAAAATTCTCTGTACGTAGAGTTTTGTCGCCCACCGATTTAATTTATATTAAGATAGGGCCCATTTTATCCAAATTCTGAAAAAGGGCGTTTTCGAGTCAGCAAGCAGCAGAGATAAGGAGAATTTGAAATTTTGGAAGGGCTTCACTCCAGCTCGCCTCCACTTTTTGTTTATACGTACCCTTAGGGCTAAGTTATTGGCTAATACAGCTGTGGGATCTTTTACATATCGTCGGCGATACTGCAAAGCGGTCCATGTCTATTGGTACCCTTGACACTTAGTTGGTCTCTTACTTGCACCGGAATGCATATGCAAATCGTTACACCCTAATAAACGAATGACAAAACTGTTTACCTTTGCCAAAGCCAAAGGTGATGAAGATGAACGATTGCCAGAAGCGATCAGATACAGATAACAGATCAATTAAGTACCAGAGGTAATAAGTGACATTGCACGTATTGCAGTATCACCGACAATATGTATGAATCCATGAACTGATTTTTTCGGTTCTTACTGCTGCAATGACTGCCAGCCTTTCGAGCAATTAGTCCAAGCGGACGTAGATCACATTTAGGGCGTCGGACCTCGGACCATAAATACGAAGTTTAATTAATAATTCGACTTCAACGCCATCTGACGGCTAAATACATATTTTGCAAGGGATGAATGTGACCAAAGACAAAATAAAGTGACTAAAGTACGGCCTCAGTACTCACGTCACTGTTTGACAGTTCAATTTTGGAAAATTAAAAGACTAACAGTGCAATTCTGGCTAAGATAGCTGCAAGTCTTTTGCAAGACAACTGAAGTAAAGTAGCAAAAATAGTTTAAAGATTTGGTTTATTCTGGCGCGAAAGTCTTCTCGCCAGCTTTCATGGTAAAAAACTTTTTTGAATGAAAGCATGATCTCTGCACAAACCTATCTAGAAATCCGAGCTTCGAATACTCATCTAGCGGATTTCTTTTTTCTTTATGTATGTATGTTACCGCATAGCTTTGGATCACGTCAGCCGATTGCGATAATTCATTCACGAAAAGATTAACAGTACACCTAAATTTTTATATGTATGAGAATTGAAGTCGGTTGTGTTTTTTTGCTTAAAAATTACTTGGTTTAATTTAAGTTTCTATTAACTTTCAGAATCTATAATTTTGAAAAGAAAATTAAATACATTTTAACTTCATTTAGTGTTTAGCAACTTATTTTATGGTTTATTTTTATTTTTTAATTAACTTCTTTATTAATTTAATTACCATTTAAGTTTTAAATCTTATTGTTTTTAAGAGATAAATATTTTTTATTTAATTTCATTCAATTCTAAAGGAATTCACCTTATTTGTATCTTTTATTATTAAATTTAGTTAATTTGATTTTCTTTTAATTTTTTAACTATTTTTTTTTTAAATAAAACATATTTCTTTTATAATTCAGTAAATTTTTATAAATGCATTGCTAAAAGACAAACAGAGTTAGTCAAACGCTCATCGTTAGCAGTTCTTTCAGTTCGCCTTTCGAAAAACAGAAAAAAGCTTGCAAGATAGTTGCCAGAATTGACAATTGTCCAGCCCCAGGTGAAGAAGGACTTGCCCTTACTGGGCATGCCCGATTCGCGGCGGTTGGCACAAATGATAATCCTACTAAAACATCGCATAATAATTACATACGAAAATTTTATACTTAGTAAAATCACAACCACGTAAAAGTGCAATTACCATTCTTATTTTGCACCACTCTCACTTCACTTATTCACAATTTTTACTTTTGTCTGCTTAGCCTGCTTAGTCTGCTCCAGGCCACAACGCGTTGAGAACTTTGTGCGCCGTTCTACCTAAACTTGAATTTAGCAATCACTATTTATTTAAGGAAGAAATTTTGTAATCGATTTGCATGCTTTACGTTGATAAACTATAAGATAAGATTTCTTTGGTTGCTGTTATCAAAGATCGATAATGCTTTTCTGTTATTTAACTAATAGTTTTCATTGCAAACCAGTCAGTGAACATCCTAGCAGCTCAACTGAGCCAAAATCAATTTTTCTAAGAACTCAGGCAATATTGGCCATTGTAACTCTTGAAGACCTAGCATTTAGAGCATTTAGAGCAGCAATCTATGGGTGGACGATGGTGGCCATCGGCCTGCTTACGGGCAAAGCTTTGTATACATTTGGTATAGATAGCTTGTTAACACCAGGACAATTTGTCTAAATCGGGACATATCCTGGAAAACCAGGACGTCTGTCAGCCCTATTCTAATTGAAATTACTTAAAGTGAACTTCATATTAAAAGTAATTTTGAAATGAAATGTATGTATAGAGTTTTTTGACTATTTAAACACTGAAGATGGAAATGATCTCATTATTGCTATTCAAAATAATTTATTGGCTTCTGTGTACAAGGAGGCGTACACTCATGATAAAATGAATAACACTTTTATTTTTTTATGAATTAGTTTTTTATTTCTATACCAAAATATTGTTAAAAACAAGTACCTACTCTGGCGTTTTAAAGTATTATCTGTTACTTACACTCATAATTTAGCTTTGAACCAAAATGTACTGAAAAGTACTGCGTTTTTTAACGTGAAAAAGTCCAACGTACTGATTTCGCGCAAAAAAAAATCTGCCAACCCTACCAAGAAGGAACCCGGTAGGTATAACAATGGCTTCATTAACGGTATTCAAGAGATCACACGACTCATTTAGCCAATGCACGGGAAAACTTTTCATCCTATGGGACAGCGAGGATTCTTGGCCCTCCTATAATTGAAAACGCTCATCTGTGCTCTAGAGTTGCCTTGTAAGGACTTTTATTGGCTTACATGGCACATCGGACCAATGCTGAAGTTGCAAAATCGTAGAAGAATATAACGCACGCTTGGCAGAGATGTCATAGGTGGAAACAAGACCATCGGTAGTATTTCATACGGAATCACAGCGCTACTATTCTTAACATATGAGTGAGGAGGATTCCGCTCTTTAGTCGTTTCAATTTAAACTAAAAATGTTTACTTTACAGACTGCTTTTGATTTTAAACGCTATTTTTGTATTGGCCAATGCAAAAAATCTTATTAGGCGCAAGCGGGCATTTGCTAGTATTTTTATAAAAAAATAAAAAAAATGTATTACGAAAAAAACACTGTATTCTGGGTATATATATTTACAGATAGGTAAAGGTTTGGAAAGCGCCACGTCCCTTTTCCAGTAGCCCCAAAATCTCTATACCAATTTCCAGGACACTACCACAAATACTTCCAGAGATATACGGTATGAAAATTCGATGTGTGGGTGACGCTCCCTTAAAATATCGAAAGTCTGCAGTAGGCGTCCAAAATTTCAAAAAATCGCTACAGCCGTTCGCGAGATCACCTCTTATAAAAAGAAGGAGCTTCTCTTTATATAATTAGTGTAGGTAACACAGAGCAACACCGATTTTGATGCGGCAAATGTTGAAGCGGATTTTGATAGGCTTTTTTGTGCTGATTAAGAATCCGTAAGTATAAAATTTCCCTCAGCTCCAGATTTTGAGAAAAATGTGGGTAAGGTGTCAAAAAATCGCGTTTTTCGCAATATTAGAGAAACTCTAGCAATGAAACGAACGGTGATAGAACCTTCCACTTAGGCTTAAATTAAAACCACAGACTACCATCCCTAAAAGTACTGACTATAGGTGACCTTAGGGTCAAGGTGTAGGAAAGGTTTTTCAGGGATTGAAGTTAGAAAACCAGTTAATTTAAGCCTAAGTGGAAGGCTTTATCACCCTTTGCTTGATTGCGGTAGGTACTCAAACTTCCCAAAATCAATTATTCCTCTTCAACAAATGAGTATAAGTGACCATCAAGCAAAGGTGCAGGAATTTGCAAGGATAGTATTCGAGAGCTGTAGCTTTAATTTAGGTCTAAGTGAAAGGTTCTATTACTTTTTGTTTCTTTGCTAGAGCTTCTCAAATATTGAAAAATCGCGAATTTTTGACACTTTGACCTCGTTTTTCTCAAAAACTGGA